TTTGTAGCTTTTCAGGCGACTAACTTTATTGAAATAAGTGTATATTAGGTTGGTATACTATAGATAGATAAAGACAGGTAATTTGTGTATGTCCTGTGGCATGGTGACAAACCAATTAGGAAGATGGGTACAGTAGAGTAAGCGAAGTTATAAGCCATCGTTATAAATGTAGTATCATGTTATGGTATAACTGGCCATGACAGACAAACGAAATACTGATATAATAACGGTATTGTGTCTCTCGAGAATAAGTTCCTTCAATCAGCCACGATAACTGTATGTAATATTAAAGCCCATATGATCTTGAGGACTCAGCGACTTAGTACGTTTCCGAAACTACAGACCAGTAACAAGTATCTATTCTGCTCTGTACTGAGCCATTTCCGCATATATAAAAAAGTCAATATTGGCCCCGCCACTAGAGTGACAAGGCAATAATACAGAGCTAAGTAAAGCGAAAGATCACTTTGTCTTTCGGTTGGACCTCTCTATGAGATCAAAATCACTATCGGACAATACCCGCATTCGTTCAAATATTTTTGTAAAAGATCACTTTGTCTTTGTTGGGCCTCTCTATGAGACTAGCAGACAATACCGCTCGGTCAAATGTTTTTTAAATCGTCTAATGAGTTGTTTAGAGTAGTATAGAGCATTACGTATACACCCCTAACAGCAATTCCATACAAGGGGTCGTTCAATTTATATACGACAAAACCGGATGAATTTGAATCGGCTCATAAGAGTCAAATTTTGATAAGTTTGTGGATCCTATGTCTTGAGCTATATCGGTGAATGTGCCTAAAATTTAAGGAAGAAACAAATCAAATTTAAAATGGAAGCTTGTTGTTTCGCACCAACAGCTAAACTCCTCGAGATCGAAGTCCAGTGTGCGTGCAAAATACGCTCGAATATCGACATTTTCAAGCAGTCCCCCTCACAGGCTTGATGGACGTGTTTGTTTAAGTTAGTATACGTAGGTTTTTCACTCCACTCCTACACGAAACCACTTTATATTTCTTCACAGCTGATAAAGCTTCAACATTCTATATTGCGAAATAGGCGAAAAATAACTCTTAATTGGTTGTGTATGAAAGAATTAGCGTTTTCCCATATTAAAAAAAAATTTTTTTTAGTATAAAAATGCTGTTTTCCAAAAGTTATTCAGATACAGTATTTCCCAGTGCTCCGTCTAACTTGTCCTTGATACTCGTGAAAAAGGTCAGTGATTTTTGTGTGGATCCGCGCCTGATTTTGATTGAGAAACTCCACTAATTTAACGTTCTACTTTCATCATTACGTTAGTACACTGTACAGATCAGTTTTACAGTGTCCACACCCTGGTGAGGAATTTTCTTAAATCACGTCCGTCAGTTATGTCTTGCTTGCCAGCACACGTCGTCGGTCTACCAAAGAGCAATATACTCACTGATTTTGGCTGCAAAGTAATCGATGTTGATGCGATCAATTTGGTCGGCTCGGCTATCTAAACTCACCGCCTGTATCGCTTCGTTTACCGTCAATATCTTACTGAGCAGAAAATCACGTTTATTCTTGTTTTTCAGGTTTTATCGAGTTCCATTTCGAGTGATATTGCAAGTCGTGTGTGGTGGCGGATGAAATTCTTCGCGCAAGATTTTTTAAAAGTCCATGATCAATATTTCCGACGTTATATTTGTTAAATCTATAGATTTCATTCAAGATCGACTTTCTCGGTTTCATACATATGTACAAAAAAATCTTATCTCTTCCATTTTTCTACATTTTTTGCTTGCTTTAAGTGTTTGAGGACAAGATAAACAAGTTGTTGTTTTTCCTTTTCCTTTCTTTTTCATGTGTACGTCAATATTCTCTTCCTCTTGATTCCCGGACTTGCCATCACATGCGAGTAGGACTTGTTAGGTCTCTCCCTTGATTCAAGGCTGTTTTTCTCCAGGTTCTTTAGTTTTCCTAACTCAACAAAACCCACCTAACAATCTGTATCTAATTTCCAATTCGATCTGACTGATCAGTGCAGAGATGTTTCAGGGTTCGATCTGTGAGTTAGCCATGCCCTGACTTAGATCAGCCCAGAGGTTGTTTCAGGGTTCGATCTGTGAGTTAGCATTGTCCTGACTTAGATCAGCCCAGAGGTTGTTTCAAGGTTCGATCTGTGAGTTAGCCATGCCCTGACTTAGATCAGCCCAGAGGTTGTTTCAGGGTTCAATCTGTGAGTTAGCCATGCCCTGACTTAGATCAGCGCAGAGGTTGTTTCAGGGTTCGATCTGTGAGTTAGCCATGCCCTGACTTTCATCAGCCCAGAGGTTGTTTCAGCGTCAATCTTCTGTGAGTTAGCCATGCCCTGACTTAGATCAGCACAGAGGTTGTTTCAAGGTTCGATCTGTGAGTTAGCCATGCCCTGACTATGATCAGCCCAAAGGTTGTTTCAGTGTTCAATCTGTGAGTTAGCCATGCCCTGACTTAGATCAGCCCAGGGGTTGTTTCAGGGTTCGATCTGTGAGTTAGCCATGTCCTGACTTAGATCAGCCCAGAGGTTGTTTCATGGTTCGATCTGTGAGTTAACCATGCCCTGACTTAGATCAGCGCAGAGGTTGTTTCAAGGTTCGATCTGTGAGTTAACCATGCCACTATGCCCTTAATTTGATAAGCCCAGTTTTTTCAGGGTTTATTTTCTTCCAGCGCCTTTTTATATCGATTTCATTCCCATCTCTTTTTTCTTTGTTTCAGTTCTTTCCTTTTGAAATTCCGCTACATTACTCCATTATAACCGAGTTTCAATACCAATGTTTACAAAACATTAGGTTTTGATGTCTTATGACAATGATATCGAAACAGCAGTCTATCGCGCGCGCTTCGTGCGTCGAAAGGAAATTATTATATCTCGCGGCGGAATCTTTCCTCGCCCTTTATAAGCGTATTCCTGTAAAAAACAAGCCCTCTTGGCCCCTTTACTGACAAGTACTGATAAAGATTATAGAAAATGTTAACAAGTGCATTAGTCAGCAATCGTTGCAATCATCTATGCAATTTTAAGGTGATGCTACCCGAGAGATTCGCAACGACGATTAAAGTTTGCGTCTACACCGTCGATGCCGTAGCGATTTTCGGATTCGGCAACACGTTTTGAGATTTTGATTCAGCTTATCGTATCGCATGTGGCATAAAATCGCCGACGAGAATAACCCCGTGAATAACATCACCTTTTAATATCGACAAAGTATTAAACAAGTAATCACTGCGTCAAATCTTAGGTAAATACTATGTTTATTATAACAAAAACGTCGTACAACGTTTCAATCAGTGGCCAATACAGGCCTACATCAATTTCATCGAGTAAAATTCCATATTTTTCAAACTCAATTCACGAGTTAAGTAATTATACTGTCATAGCCGGTGTGACTACAATCATCGAAACAACACTTTTATTTTTTAAAGTTCAAATTCAAAAATTCGAAAGCGAACGCTCTTACTGTACTAATACTCTTAACCCTGCCTAATTGAACAGTAAGTAATAAAGACTGCATTTCCAGGCCTTATTTTGTTTATATTTTTTTACGGTTTGTACATTTTGTTCTTAGAGTACCAACTATAGTAGTACTCTTGGAGCACGTTTCTCACAACAGCCGACTCAATCGCATTAAGATTTCATTGTAAAAAGTGTCAAAACTTAATCCAGGGTTCGTAAAAAAGCTTTTAAACATCACAGCGTAATCATTTCTTCCTTTGTTGTTCGTGCTTCATAGTTAAAGTACGATATTCAAGTCCATAATCCGTTCCAAATTACAAAACAAAGTTTGAATTTAGCGATGAATAAAACTCACCGAACAAAAGGACTTCCCATTATCAATCTAGCCGCTCTGAAAACCGTCGTTTTTAACTCAACAGTCTAACAGTTAAAATTTAATTTTTTTACATTATAGATTTTTGTTTTAAAATGCTTCTTCGCGAACAATGAAAAGATTTACATTTCGCAGTGTCTTTTCTGTAATTATCACGATTACTTGGTACTTAGGTTTTATATTATTGAATCTACAATTATAAATACCAAGATTTTCTCCTAGAGTCCGCAGCTCTAAATATTTAAGATTTTGCCGACTAATTGAAAATCCTTTGGACAAAATGTTACCTTGTCTTGCCCGCAAAGTTGACCGATTAGCATCAATCAACATCATATGAGTACAGATCTTAAATATATATATATTTAAAACCAGACAAACGGAAAAAATACTACTTATTTTTCCTAACACGACTGAGATGAAACGGCTCGTCTGGTTAAAAACGAAAGTCAAAGTCGAGCCGTATCGAAAGTAAGTATTGTTTAGATCCGCAAGGAACCAAAAAGTGGTTTCCTATTGACGAACCCGAGCACCAAAAAACGTTTTCCCCGCTTTTTCAATAATTAATTTCTTTTTCGTTTTAGAAATTCGTCTAGGATTATTATATCATTTTTTGTTTACCATATATAAAAGCTAGATTTTCTACAGTCAAACGCCAGTTCCTTCGCCAGTCTTCGTATCTGTAATACGTTAGCAACGAGAGATCTTCTAGTTAATTTAGGGCTGAAATATCAATATTACTCATCTTTACATTTTTTGAAACGAAACTAGATTTTACTAGAACTTATATTCAGAATATACCATTTGAATTATTTTTTCGTCCAACGATTCAGAAGAATGGTGAGACCTCGCTGATTTGATACGAAGACAAACACTTCGAAACAGTTTCAACAACATCCAACAACGTGTATATTAAGTACTTTAACTTATATAGATCGACTAAAAATTAGCCCACGCACTAAACCTTTCTACTTTAGTCATCTATTACTTATATACGTGAAACTAGGCATAGACTATGCTTTTTTTAGGTCCTCTGTTGGATTATAGCTCTTTTACCGTGAATACAATTGGTGATGGAGTCATCAAAGCCGGGATCTTGACATTTCGTTGTCAAGGAAGATGGTCTCCAGAAGAGGGTCTGTAGGAAGATTTGTTCTCGAGGTTTTCGGTCAAGAGAGAGAACATATTTCACGGGAAGACTATATAATATCGCTGGCGGGCAGTCTATTTCACCAGTGTTGTCTGCACCGTGATAGTTCATCAACTACACTACATTGCTCTGCCTTTCCTTGAAAAAACCCTTGTCGGTTAAACACTCTTTAACCGTTACCGTTACGAAGTTCGTTGTCACATCAGTTATAAAGATCTGATCAATGAGGGGTTTGTGCCAGTATGTTAGCCCTGGTGCTCCAGACTTAGTTTCTGTCATAGCCATCTTCGAGTCACTTACAGTTGACTTTTTGCTAAGGTCAGACACAAAATTTCCTCTCCCGTCCGGCCTACAAGGAAATTTTGAGATGCTTCCATGATTTTCTACTCCATCCTGTCTGTCCCCGTTCTGCTTACAGCTCGCTGAAACCAACGACTGACCTTCACCAAGAGAAACCTTTCCTTGTTCCGGCAAATTTCCCATTCGAAAGTTATTTGTATCGGTTTTGAAACCCTCAAAAGTTAGCTGTCCCTTTATCTCAGGCGATTCCTTCGTCAAAGTCTCTTTATGATGTCGAAACTGGATTTTAGAACTGTCGTAAATCATTGCCCCATCGCCTGGCAGAGCTGCTCGCTTGTCATTCCCGACTTCATCCGCTACGGGACGAAGATGAAAATCTGAATTGGAGGTTTTGGTACGAGGGTACAAGGGCTTCTCGCGAGAAAGAAACTCGAGCCCATCATCGAGTTCCCCAGCAAGAGGCTTTGAATCATTTTCTGCAGTAATCGTTTGAGAGTCTGATAAATTAAACAATTGCTTTGGAGGATCTGGAGATGTAGTTTTTAATATATCTCGAATGTTGTGAGAATTCTTATCTTGTTTTACAACCACGGTTTTCGTGGCTATCGGCGAAGTAGTACATTCAGGTCGGCCATTTGCCGGTGAAGAGGACCCAATAGTGTGAGGAAGCTCGGCATTGACCGCAGTTTCCTGTTCACCTGGTGGACCTGGAGATACAGACAAGTAAGAACTAGCACTGGAAGTGTTGTTCTCGTCTGTGATCGTCACATCAGAAGTGGCATCCAAGCTGAAGCTAGAGTCACTACTTTCGCTTTCACGTCCTCGAGTACTGATAGAGCGCGAATGAGTAGCGTAATCCCAATCTGAATAACCTACACTACATCTATTCGTGTAAGATGATGTCGTTGGTCCCTGAAAATTCATGACGAAAAAAAAAAATCAAAACGTCAGCGAAATATAAAACTCACCAGAAAAAATAGACCAATTATTAGGCAGAAACATCACCGTTTAGTGTAGTTTCTACTGCGAGTATTGATAGAATATATAAATAAGATCTCATACTGTTTTCGACTCTTAGTTCTTGAACCATAACATGTGATAAATGTGTGTGTAGTGTGGACTGAAGAAAACTTACTAACCGTGTCGGATCGAGTCCGCTTCACTGTGGCTATCCCTCGTTGCCATCTTGGCCTCTTCCCTCGTCGTCTTCGACTTGAAAACAACGAGAAAATTAAGCAGTGAACAGACTAAAACCCGATAAAATTACAACGACAATAAAAGATCATGGAATTACGACATTACGTTTGAAATATTCCGACTAAAGTATACCTGTTTTCGAAGGCCAGAATCAGACGTCCATCGAGGATATTCTCGGCTGGTTCCCAAGTGTTATTCCTTGGAATTCAAGGAAAAAATGGTGAATATTTCAGCGAATGACAATGACTGTCTTGTTGATAATAAGCCATAATACTTACTTGGCCGACCAGCCTTTCCATTTGACCAAATACTCGACTTGTCCCTGTAAAAAAGTGGAACACGAAACACGTTAGTGAATCAAGAACATGTTAAAATCTGCTCGATCAAAACTGATCAAGTCTAGAACCTTTCGTGTTCTTTTCTTGAGGATGCACTGAGCAGCGAATATGCCCTCAGCGCGAGGATTAGGCTGGCTTTCGCTAATTTCACCATCCATGCCTTGGTTCACTTCCATGGCACTCTGGAGCTAGGTTAGAAATTCAATATTTACTTCGCCTGAGGGATTTCTTATTTCATTCATTGTCTATCCCGTAATATTAACCAAAACAAAAGTTGATTACGTCACTTAGTGGGCGATCGCTTCACTGACTCCTGACTGGCTGAAAAATTTTCACTTCGTTGCTACAATCATTTGTAATTGGCTGTCGAGTCTGTTTTGAAAGGCCTTAATCAGGCAAAATTACCAACTCTTTGACAAGATCGTGAGTCAAGACGACATACGATAACATTGGAAGGAGCCGAATCCAGCCATGACTATCGCTCTGAAACGAGTCAAAAACGATCGGTAAATTTTTTCACTCTTTCACTTGTACTCTCTGATCCTTGAAGTCGTACAAGATCAGAAGAAAGTGACAAAAAGCGGCTAGATATTTGACACAACAGGCTAGAGCAGTACGAAATTCTTTAGCTTACAAACTGTCAACGATCTAAGACTTTTTCCTGAATAATCTCAGGTTTTGTCACGTACATCATATTTTGTCACGCATGTCACGCACACGTGAAATCAACGTGGGAGACTTTCCGCGCGTTTTTACCACGTGTAAATCTCTTTAACTATTAATGAATAAAAAAATTGAACAAAAATGATAGAATCAGTTTGAATTAAAAGTTGTTGGCCAATTATTCCAAGATAACGAATTAAAAAAATTTTTTTTCGTTAATAGGAAAGACAAATGAAGATGAAATTATATTTTATATGAAATGAATGAATACATGAATGAATAATTAACAGAAAGCAAAAACAAGTGTAAATGAAAATTACCTAACAACGAAATAATAACAGCAACCATTAACTTACTAAACAAATAACTCAATTATTTCATGCGTCACGATTAGTACGGATACCGTACTTGAAGTGCATGTATTGACGGTGCGTTAGTATATTGTACTCAAAGAGAGTAAAGAAGGGACCGGTCGCCTTCAAAAAGCAATAAAAACGACTTCCCTATCTCTCCTCTTTAGGGCTCCTATTGATACCAGTTGTATTATCTTAATGAGTAAAAGGATTTCACCGTTATTGCTATAATGGCATCTATCCCAGTTGTAGCCAGGCGCGTAGCAAGGCCTGGATATTTGGGGACCGGTGTCATTTTGAAATTGTGTGTTTGCTTGTATTCACTGCCCCCTAACCCGGCTTCCCATGCTACGGGCCGTGAGCCTACCGGGTACCGGTAAAATAACAGAAATTATGGGATAACTTTACCGATATTTGGTAGTCTGCTATATACATCTTTCTATCTCCCCCTTGCTTATATTTATAGACATTGCAAGCACGCACACAACCATGCACATATATGTAGAGACATACACCTCTCTCTCTCTCTCTCTCTCTCTCTCTCTCTCTCTCTCTCTCTCACTATGAATGCCGGTACACCGAGACCTAAGACTTTATGACAATTTGGCGATATACATACATATATAACCACTTTTTCCAATTGTCTTTCCTTGAAAATCCTGGTAAGACAATAGAAAAAATGGGGATTCGGTGTATATATACACACTTATACATATATATATGACTGTGAGAAGAAAAAGCCAAGACTACAGTTTTCCCAACAAGACTGTTTCGTGAATAGCTTCACTCTTCAGGGGATKTAATGATAAGAATATATATATATATTCGGTGTGTGTATATATATACATACACTGACACACATATATATATATAGACTTTCTTTGCTCTTCCCACGTTTATTCATTTCAACTGCACGTCAGCTAGTGATAAACCCCAAAAAGCCTGATTGCTTCATAATAATATTTTTTCCATCTTTCAAGTTTTTAAACCGTTAATGAAAGATAAAGACGATAAAAGGCTCAACACGATGTGTACTCTTTAGTATTTCCACACATCAAAAGTAATTGAAATTTTTGACTCCAAGTCCCGTCTCTTGTGTGTGTGCCATAAACTAATAAATATATAATAAACTGTCATCGACGATCACACATGCAGTTACCAAAACATATGTTTAACTCCAATTCTCTAAATTTCTTCAATCTAAAACTGCTTTAATCTACCTTGACCACAACATCAAAATAAATATTTTGTACAGTGCGAATTGAATCGTAGGAAAAAAAATTTAGTGCATATATCGATGAGAATGTGCTTTTTAAGAAGTTGTTTTGGGAGATGCTGGTTCGGTTGAGGTATGTAAACTAAGTGACGTCATTACTGACGTCGATGAGTACTTAACTCTACTCTACAAACATTCGGTTACCAAAACAACCATCGTCAGTCAATAACTAAAGATTTCGCAATACCTTTTTACGAATATTGAGATGTATTTCTAGGAATATCAAGATGTTGTCGAAACGTCCAGTGCTTCCCTCATTACCAAGAGTACTTTCTATTAGAGTTTGCGACAAGCTTATGAAAAATAAAAAGGGTTTATTTTTATCAGGATATTTCGGTCCCGGTTAAATTTTTCAAGATCTAGAGCGAAAGCTCCGACTGTCAATTAGTTTAAACGACAGCATGAATTCGAAAGAACTCGCGTCTGCGAGTAGGTAGGACCGGAATAGTCGCCTCAGGGTTTAATCCAAAAACGTCGTTCAACTTCAAGCCATGGTTATCGAGTTTTTATCGGCATCCCTCAGATGTTCCCCTTGGGTAAACCTGTTTTGGATTTGTGAATGTTCTAGAAAACATGAGTAAAACAGTGGGGCTTTTAAGAAGGCTTCTTTAGAATTTTGCTCTTTGTGTGGGCGTATTTTAATCGAGCGCCAAGTTTAATATTATGAGAGTCGAACGGCATATTTTAAATTAGTATTTAATGTTGTTGCACTGAATAGCAGTGGCACTTTGGCATTAGCAGTAACAGTAACAGCAGCAGCAGCAGCAGTAACAGTAGCTGAGTACTACCAGTAATTATAGCAGTGTAGCATTGACAGTGGTACTAGTAGTAGTATTAGCAACAGTAGCAGTACTTAAAAGTACTAAGTAGCAGCAGCAGCAACGGTAGAAGCAGCCGCAATAGTACAGTATCAGTAGCAGTAGCAGCAGCAGCAGCAGCAGTAGCAGCAGCAGTAGCAGTAGCAGTAGCAGTAGCAGTAGCAGTAGCAGTAGCAGTAGCAGTAGCAGTAGCAGTAGCAGTAGCAGTAGCAGTAGCAGTAGCNAGTAGCAGTAGCAGTAGCAGTAGCAGTAGCAGTAGCAGTAGCAGTAGCAGTAGCAGTAGCAGTAGCAGTAGCAGTAGCAGTAGCAGTAGACCAAATTTCAGCGTGCGGGAAAACCGCAGTAAATCTTTCCATTGACCATTGAGACTTAGTTAAATACTCATAATATAAATAAAGTATGATTTCCTTTTTTTGTAACGATTTACAACAAATTTGTTGGTTTTAAGTGGTACAGTCTTTAAGAGAATACCGTCCAGAGGGACGGCGGTACATTTCACTAAAAATGATAAACTTACCGTAAGTGTAGATAAGGGTAGGTCGTAAACTTCTTTCAACTTTGAGACCATTGAGACATAATTTAATGCTTACAAAAAGTAAATGAAGTATGATTTTCTTTTTTTAAAACGATTTACATCAATTTTTTTGGTTTGTCCTTCTAAGCTGTACAGTCTGTAAAAGAGTACCGTCTAGAGGGACGGGGGTCCATTTCATCAAAAACACTAAAATATATAACAAAAGGGTAGGTCGTAAACTCTTTCAACTTGAGACCATTGAGACTAATTTTAATGCTTATAAAATAAATAAAGTATGGTCAAGGTAGACTGTTGAACCTAGGGATCCCACACGAAGCGTTGGTGTTGATGTTGTCCAGTACAATGACGTAAAAATAACTATTGTTGGGGGCGATTGTTAAATCCACGTCAAAAGGAAAATAGATTAGTTAAAATCAAATCAAAAGAAAAAAAGAAGCAGAAAAGCGGGGAGAGTAAGGCTTTCCCTTCGCAAAATCAAACCTAACGCGTTAAATTCCAGTCAAATTGTGGGTTAGCACTTTATTTATAGCAGGCATATAAAAATTAATTGACCCATTTCGATTCATTGGGTCCATCGATATATATATTTTAAATTTTCTCAATATTGTATTAAATTCAGTATCAAGAGACTTCGACTACGACCAATTCTTTTACGTATCTTTTTTGTCCTAAGTCATTTAATGTTACTTAATTAATATCATAACTTGGACAATCTTAATTCAACCGAATTCAACTCGATAAGATGAATAAATGACATGTGGGATCGACAGAAAATATCAAATATTCAACTGGAATCAAATTGACATTTTGTTTGATTAGTGGATTGAAGTTTTTCTTATGAAGAAATTTTGGTAATATTACTTTGTAATATAGTTATCAAACAGAAAAAGAAAAGGAAAGAAAAGAATGGACAATAAGATATACCATAATCTCTATTGGTCGGCTACAAGCTATATCAAAAAATTAAGTAAACCATTCTATAGTGTTCCATTGAAGTAGAAAATATATATGTGTTTTTTTTATTCATTTTTTTCGCATGGACAAAATCAGGATAAAGCAGATTATAGAGTGCCCACGTATGTAGCAGTTAATATGTGGGTACTAATAATGTCAAAAACGTATACGTATATTCTGGTCTTAAAAAAATACAGGAGCTTTCAACCCACGTAAATACATCAACACTAATGAAATGTTTTATATCTAAAAACAGCTGAGAGGAAGCCGTTTTGTCGTACAATGATAGGGAACTCTTCGTCTTAGCTTTTTAATTTCTATTTAGTACCAAATGAGATATATTTAAAGCCAGGGTACATTAATAGATCTGTCTTAGAAGGACAGGTGCAAGGTATTGTTCATAATAAGATGTTATTTTTTGACTTGGTTTATTTTTAGAATTCGGAATTGGGCTTCATTGATTGGCTATTCCGAGGTTGAGGAAAAAACTGGGTCAAGCTGTTTGATGCGCATGCGCGGCTGTTTTTAATTATCGACGATTAACTAAAACAAATTCCAATCGATTGAAAGTTACGAAGAAAAAAAACTTCCAAAAAAAGTTAAGTAGCTGTAGGTTTAAGGTCACCCATCCAGGTACTAACTTCCCTCAAACGGGCTTGACTCAGTATTTTGAATGCCCAAGCTTTTATCCACTGGACCACGGTTCCAGGAGAATCAGCATAACAATAGCCGTGAAAACAATGTACCGAATAGACTAGATCTTTTTAACATTATATTTTCAACCGATTCCGTGCGTGGCAGAGATGCAAGGGATTAGCCGATATGGTCTGGGGGCCGGCTGGTCTCTCCCCTGATGCTCTGGCTAGAACATTTTCTTGCGTAATTCGTACACCCAAGGGCAGAAGGATTTAATCGCCGTCAGGTCCGAAGTCCATACGCCGCCTCAGCTCTGCGGATGTCTCGGGGGTATGGCAAAGTATAATCGATTTTTTAAAATTTCTTTTGGTGGGTAGAATCCCATCATATCCACACTGAAGATTTTTCTTTCTTTCTTTTTCTTTCTTTCTTTCTTTCTTTTTTCTTTTTTTATTATCCATTTTTATTAAATAGTTTAAATCTTCAACGATAAGGTAATCTTTTTAGTGAAAAAGTATTTATTCCTAGTCGGTTGCTTATAAGCCTGTATAAGTTCGCTTTCAGTTCGTGGTCGCAAGGACCAGTGGGTGGTGCCGTGAAGACTTCTGGGTACTATTGCGCAATTACTGCATTTTCTGACAAGGAAAATAAACAGCCACCCTAGTAAATAATATAATAACAAAGAATGGCAAAAAGATAAGAAAATGAATTGGTTGAATTTTTATGGATTGGTTCGAACCTCACCGTATCCAGTATATATTTTCTATTTTTTTTAAACATATTATCTTGAATTTGACCACAAACTATTACCACGTTCTGTGCCGAGAGACGACCATCACGTCAAATTGAAATATATTAAGCTGTGGAGAATCGCTTGAAGTTTCTCTACAAAGATCATATACTGTAAATCATTTTAGTCTAGAAATCTTCGATAATCGAACTAAGCTTTTCTAGAACTCAGCCCCAATCGGCAAAATGCGTGTGCAGGGCATATAGTCTAACATGCAGCAACTTTCTTACTTGCGGCAACTCGTTTCTTATTTGCGGCAACTCGTTTATATTTGCCGCAACTCATTTCTTATTTGCGGCAGCTTATTTCTTATTTGCAGCAACTCGTTTCCGTAATCTGAAAACAGTCGGCCGGGGTGCTACTGAGTTGACGAAAAATGCGGACCCTTGACCCTACTTTTCCATGGGTCGCATGATAGTAGAGAAAGTGCACAGACATCAATAAAGAAAATTTAGGACGGTACATATTTAGCGCGCACATTTAGGCGGGTATTTTAGACGTGACGGCGCTTTGAAAGCATTTAGCATGCTTAATGTCTACGTTTCTCTAGGTTAGATTCTTTCTGGAAGAAACGCAGGCTCTGGGTACGAGATTGGGTTAGCTTTGAATAAACCTTTCCTCGGCTATAGAATGTACAAACAACTTATAACGATTACACAATTGATATCTAAAAATAATTAAGCAAAGACGATTAAAAAAKGAGAGAGAGACCAACGGCTAAAATAATTGCCTTTTTTATCCGAGACAAAACTAAAGTGGATAAAGCAAAAAAGACATAATTTGTTATCAAGGACTTAAGACCACACGGTTAGTCCAAATATTAAATATACTCATTTGCTCCACAAAACATCTTTTATTTATGTCTTTTTTTTACTAAATATAGATTAAATTGCACGCAGGAAAAAAAGATGTTGAAAAAATTGATTTAATCAGAGTACTTGTAAGATAAACTTGGCAGATATGGACAGATTTGTCAAGATTTTTTTAACAGATATGGCTTTTAGCACGTAACACGTATGACGTCACTCTAGCTCTGCAATGGCTTTCTATTGTCTTTTACCCGCCAATCATAAAGGCCGATTTACACGCTACGAATTTTTAATCAAAACATCACGAAAGAAAACTATAAATCCATACAAAACTAAGTAGCAGACAAATGTTTATTTGGTCTCAGATCTAGCTAATCAGATCGGAATGTGTTTCAAGAACCAGCCAATCAAATCGGAGTATTGATCTAAAGACCAGCCAATCAAATCGCAGTATGTCTCAAACCCATCCAATCATTATCAGGATATTTTCCTCAATTCCAACCAATCAGATAAAGTTTATGAACTTTCTTTAGACCTTGCATTTGTCAGACTTCATGTTCGCTGTAAACCACACCCTTCTTGCCTCGGTTTCTCGCTAAACTCTCACACGACTCGTACATCGAGTTCTCCGACACCTCGTCGTATTCTTTGGTGGCGGTGATTTCACTTTTCGTCATGCATTTCTTAGCGATGAAAGCCTCTCGCTTGATGCTGACATCGAGGTGATATGGTACGTCAGGAATGAGCCAGTCTAGGAATTGAACAGTGAAAAACACCAAGTACTGAAAGATGATGACGAAAGCCAGCCGAACTGCAAGGACGTAGTAGAACTGGCGGTCGTATCGGTATGGGTATTGGGGCTCGAAGTATTCCTTGTACCTGATGAAAATAATAATGATAATAATGATAATCATTAGCAATTAGTCCTCGCGTCCGAATAGGCTATTAAGGAGGTTTTGGGTAGTTTTAGTCTGGCACACCTAGCCGCATTGAAACGGCTACAACTTCGTCTTGAATAACTCGATCTGCAAGCGCTTTTCACACAATGTCAGGAAAGGATTAAAGGTTTCAAAAATG